GGCTGGTGTCAGGAGGACCGGAGGGAGCCAGGGAGCTGCAGCCAGCCCAGGCCCGTCCCAGGGAGAGTCCTCCCCTGGCCACCGGCTCAGCACCGTGAAGCAAGGGACACTGCATCTCAGCTGGCACAGCTGGAAAAGGTTCCCCCAGGGCGGCGAGTGTGGGTCTGTGTCGGCAAGGGGGAGGCGGGGCGGGCTAGAGCGAGTAAATCGGGCCTTGGCCGTCCAGGTAGGGCTCTGTTGCTTCTGCAGGCTCCCTTCCCTCTCTCACATCCGGCCTAACAGGGGCCTCTGGTCCCCAGCAGGGGGCTGCAAGGGGATAGAAGCCTGGAGGTTTTTACTAGAGCTCGGGAAGCAGCAGAGGGTCCGCAGAGCTGCAAAGAGGCCCAACTGAGACCGCTGGTTGGGGTGGCTGTCACGGGGAAGGGGGAAGACCCCCGTGCCACCCCTCCACATTCGGGCTCTCCTTACACCTCTGTCGCCCCACCTCTGTCCAGGTGGCTGTCTGGAGGAACCTGGGGGCACTCTGGAAGAGAAAGGATTTCCCCAAGACAGGAGAACCAAGTTGGACACAGAGCTGAGGGCAGCTGGCTTTCAGCAACTCTCGCCCTATGCCAGGAGGGCCCTTGCTCAGACCCTCCCTCCCACCCTCTCCCAGCAGGAGTCCTGTAGCAACCCCTGATTCAGTGAGGATGGACATGGGGGCCTTGGGTGGCATCACACAAACCAAAGAGCCTTGGGAAACCAAGGAAGAGCCTTGGACGTCACATATTTGCGGGAACTGGAGGATGCTCCATGGGGACCGGGGCACAGGATATTTTCCCCACTGGAACCTTCAAGAACAGACCAGCGGTCAGAACTAATCAACAAATTCAGTAAAGTTGCACGATACCAAACTGATATCCAAAAATCAGTTTTGTTGCTATTCACTAATAACAAAGTATCAGAAAGAAAAATAAAAAAAAATTAACAATAATCCCGGGGCCCCTGGGTGGTGCAGCTGGTTGAGCGTCTGACTCTTGGTTTCAGCTCAGGTCCTGATCTCGAGGTGTGAGATTGAGCCCCGTGTCAGGCTCCACACTCGGCACGGAGTCGGCATGACCCTCTCCCTCTCCTCCCCATGCTCGTGCATGCTCTTTCTTCTCTCAAATAAAAGCCTTAAAAAAAAAAAAGGAAAAAGAAAACAATCCCATTTACGATTGTATCAAAAATAATTAGACACCTAGAATAAACTTAACCAAGGAAACGAGGGACCTGTGCCCTGAAAACTGTAAGATCCTAATGGAAAAAAAATGAAGATCCAAGCAAACGGAAAGATATACTGTGTTCATGGATTGGAAGAATTGATACTAATAAATATCCACGCTCTCCGGAGCCACCCACAGGTTCAGTGCAATCCCTATCAAAATGCCGATGCCATTTTTCACGGGAATAGAGCAAACAATCCTAAAACTTGCATAGAGACACAGAAGCCCCCAAACTGGCGCAGCGATCTTGAGAGAGAGCAGAGCTGGAGGTATCACGTGCCCGATTTCAAACCCCTTTCATTACAAAGCTCTAGGAATCAAGACACATGGGACTGGCATGAAGACAGGTACATAGACCGGTGGCCCAGAAGGAAACGCGTGCCTACGTGGCCGATCCAGGTACAACAAAGGAGCCAAGAGCCTACGGCGGAGGGGGACGGCTTCTGCAGTACCTGGTGCTCGGGAAGCTGCACAGCCACAGGCGCTGGGACGAAGCCTGACCCCTCGCACCCCCCACACACGTGCAAAACAAAAAATAAATGAATTTAGAAAAAGAAGAACAGGTGGCTTCGTCCACCATTTGCGACTCCAGAGGGGTTCGGCCTCTTTAAGGTGCTCTCTTCCTGGGGATGCCTGGGCGGCTCCGCGGTTGGGCGTCTGCCTTTGGCTCAGGGCGTGACCCCAGGATCTTGGGATCGAGTCCCGCATCGTCTCCCTCTGCCTGTGTCTCTGCCTCTCTCTGTGGGCCTCTCATGAATATTTTTAAAAAAAGTGGTCTCTGTCCATAAATACTGGACCATGAGGGAGCCTACCTCCATCAGGTCTCCATAAGGCAAGCGTGTATCTAGTAAGGATTACCGATCATCGCCTTTTAGCCTGGCCATTCCACTTCCATTCCAATTTTTTTAAAAAAAATCATACTGGGGCAAATCGGTAAGACGATGCCCAGGCGAAAATGTAGGAGTGACCCAAATGCTGGCTCTGATGTGCACCCTCCACCACCACTAGCGTCATTAAGACGAAAGCAGCAGCAATAATCTGGAAGTGTAAAAGCCAACAGGAAGGACACCATGACGGACGCTTACCGTCCACGCCCAGGGCTGCGCACTCTTCCGGGCGGCTCTGCTAGAGCAATCACCTTGATTTTCCCCAGACACCTCCGGGGAGGCTCTGCGATCCTCTACTTTATTTTTTTTTAATTTTTTTTAATTTTTTTTTTATTTTTATTTATGATAGTTACACACACAGAGAGAGAGAGAGAGAGAGAGAGAGGCAGAGACACAGGCAGAGGGAGAAGCAGGCTCCATGCACCGGGAGCCCGACGTGGGATTCGATCCCGGGTCTCCAGGATCGCGCCCTGGGCCAAAGGCAGGCGCCAAACCGCTGCGCCACCCAGGGATCCCCGATCCTCTACTTTAAAGAGGAGGGCTTGGAGGCGTGGGGAGGGTCAAGAGCATCGCAAGGTCACGCTGGGAGGTCAGGCAGGGCCAGTTAGCTAAGCTCTGTGTACATTAAAATCCGAAGGATGATGCACGAGAGGGTCAATCGGTACCTGGGCGTTTCTTTGGATTCTGTTTTTCTCAGGTTGCGTCAACGTACAATTTTCCAATTAGAAAATCAAAAACTGGGTGTTTAAGGAAACACACGAGAACTGGCCCGGTGCCTGGGGGCTGAGGCAGCACACGACGGCTGGAGGCTCGCTGGGACCTGGGCACGCCCCCCGGCCTAGCAAGTCGCGGAAGGGGTGGATGCCCGGGCCGCGCCGTGGGCACGCTCCGGCCCCCTTTCCCTCTGCTCACGTCTCAGCCCGGCCAGGAGCCCCTGAAGGCACTTGGGCCAAAGGAGGTAGCGTCGGCCGGAGGGGCTCACCCAGCACGGCCGCGAGGCCCTGCCTTGCCCAACGTGATGGCAACGTCCGACCAGCCAAGAACAAAACCGGTCCACTCGTTTGCCCCCAGATGGTAAGAAAGACAAGACGGTTCAAAAAACAAGGTATTCTTATTTTATGCATCGGGATCCCTGGGCCGCTCAGCGGTTTGGCGCCTGCCTTCGGCCCAGGGCGCGATCCTGGAGTCCCGGGATCGAGTCCCACGTCGGGCTCCCGGCGCGTGGAGCCTGCTTCTCCCTCTGCCTGGGTCTCTCTCTGTCATAAATAAATAAATCTTAAAAAAAAAAAAAAATACAAGAATCTTATGCATGGAGCAGAGTCAGAGCCACAAGCCCAAGTTGTCGGCAGGCGTCAAAAGCCACTTGAACACTCTTCAGGGCCCTCAGGGCCCCACTTGACACCGCGGCCTTGCGACCCAAGGCCACGAGCTGTCCCGAAGGGGGGGGGGGGCTGGCCCGGCTGCTGGGCCGAGGGCCAGGCCCGGCTGACGAGCTCCCAGGCGGCAGCTGGAACCGGCCCGGTGCTCACCCGGCTCTGGCGGCCTTCACTGCCCCCGCGCATCAAGGCGTCGGGCTCAGGTCCCCGCAGGGCGGCGTCCCAAGCATCCCACCGGGAGCCCGGAAGGCCCGCGGGCGGCCACACGGGAAGGACAGGTGAAGTCTGCACCGCCGGGGCTGACCTTCTCCAGAAACTCTGAAATCTCAGGTCGTGAATCAAATACACGAGGGCAGCAGACAGGGAGGCCACACAGACCCGCAGTGCGGGAGGGACGCTGCGGGGACAACACCGGCGCAGAGGCAGGCGGCTGCTGGGTGGACGCTCAGGGCCGACAGCGGGGTGAGTGTGTGCAAAGGCCCTGTGGCAGGAGACGGAGCAACCCTGCACTCGGCGTGGCTGGCGCAGAGGCGCAAGGACCGGCCGGCGCGGCCCCCAAGCCGAGGGAGGGAGGGCGGGCCTGGGGTCTAGCCCAGGGGCACAGGCAACCCCCGGGGATTTTTTACGGTGACGGGACCCACTCGGGGATGTCCACGGTCCGGAGAAACGGAGAAACGCGGCGGCGCGGGGCGGCCGGGGCGGGGCTGGGAAGGCGCTCAGCACCCGCCCCGCCCCCCCGCCCCCGCGGGGCCGCCCGCACCTGCCGCCCCCGCCGCCCCCCCCAGGGCACAGGCCGAGGCAGGAAGGCCCGGGCTCAGCGCACGCCCCGCCCCGCACCTGCACGACGCACCTGCGCGGCGTCCTCGCGCCTCCCCCGCCCGCCGCCCCCGCCCGCCGCCCGCCGCCCCGGGCTCAGCCCGCCCGCGATGACGTCAGCGCGCGTGCCCACGTGACCCCGCGGCCTGCGGCGCGTGACGCACGCGTGACGCACGGCGGGCAGCCCGGGCCCCGGCGGGCGCGCGGCGTCAGGAGGGGGCGCACCCGCTTCCGGTGGCGGTTGCCGGGGCGACCGGGACGCGCCCTGACCCGCCCCGGGAGGGGGATCCGACCCCGACCCCGACCCCGACGCCGCCCCAGCGCCGCGCCCCCCGCCCCGCGCCCCCGCTCCCCTCGGCCCCGGGCGGCTGGACGGATCCTGCGGAGCTCCGGGCCCGGGTCCGCCCCACCCCGGCCCTGGCGGCGGCCCGGCGGCTGCACAGCCCGCTCGGAACCAGCACCGGGGACGCCGGCTGACGCGGACCCCTGGGCGCCCCGTGCACGGTCCCGCTGGTGCGGACCCCTGGGCGCCCCGTGCACGGTCCCGCTGGTGCGGACCCCTGGGCGCCCCGTGCAGGCTCCCGCTGGTGCGGACCCCTGGGCGCCCCGTGCACGGTCCCGCTGGTGCGGACCCCTGGGCGCCCCGTGCACGGTCCCGCTGGTGCGGACCCCTGGGCGCCCCGTGCAGTGGGCTGAGGCCCGGATGCTTGTTTCCACGCCTGCTCCAGCCTTGGGCCCTGATGGGGTTGGGGGCGGGGTAGAGGCCGAGGATCTCTCCCTTAGGGATCAGCCAGGTGATCCCAGAGGCGGGCAAGTCAGCTTATCTTTAAGCAAACCGCGGGCGCTAGAATGCAGGAAAGTGGGGGGTCATCCCCTTGGCAAACAAGGAACCGGGCTGAGACGGGTGGGAACCCAAGCAAGGTCACGCAGCCGCCAGGGAGCAGGACTGGGCCTTGCCCCACAGTTTGAAACCTATGGTTTTCATTCGGCCGCGCACCTGGGGTGGGGCCGAGGCCCTGCGGCCCACTATGTTCTGGGCATCTGGGGACTGACCTCTGTTGACATGTTTCTGCCTGCAGGTGGCTCGAGAGCTGGAGGAGCCAGTGGGGTGGCAGGAGGGGCAGCAGCCAGAGGCAAGCGGGAAACCGGGAACTGTGGGCCTGAGAGCTGGAGTCCAGTGCCTGGCCTGCGTCAGCCAGCTGTGGGGCCCCGGACAAACTGCGGAGGGTGTCTGAGCCTGTTTCTTCATCTGTGAAACGGCTGCGGAGGTACCTGTCCTGCTGGGAGGCTGTGACAGGAGAGGGAAGGTGTGGGGAATACCTGGCGCATCGCAGGTGCAGGTCGCAGTAAATGGTCCCTGGAAGGACGGCCCTGGGCCTGGAGGCTGAGTTGCCAGGAAAGGTCCAGCGTGCCCGCTAGTTGAATTCCAGATAAACCATGAGTGACTCCTTTTTTTTAAGTCTAGGTATGTCCCGAATATTCCACGAGTACGCCCATACAACGGGATAGTTGGCCATAAGAAAGAATGAAGTGCTGAGACACGCTACAGCCTGCGTACGCCTTGAAAACACTCGAGGCGAGCGCAGCTGGTCATAAAAGATCATGTACCGTGGATCCCATTTACGTGGAATGTCCCGGACAGGTGAGCCCACAGGGATAGGAAGTAGGCTTCTGGCTGCCTAAGGAACCGAGGGGAAAAGCAGCAAGTGCTTGCTAATGGGTGTGGGATTTCCTTTGGGGGTGACTGAAGATGTTCTAAAACTGAATGCAGTGGGGGCTGCACAACTCTGAATGTACCAAAAAAAAAAAAAAAAAAACCAACCCACACTGATTTGTACACTTCCTCAAGTGGGTTAACTGTGCGGCATGGGGATGCATCCCAATAAGGCTACTTAAAGAGAATACACTGGGCACCACAGAGGCCTTTCTAGCCTTCGGGAAGCGGCTCCGCTCACTGGCTGGCAGGCGGGAGGTCTGAAGGCAGAGGAACCTTGCTCACCAGGCAGGATCTTTGCACAGAGTCTCCCTGAAACCTCAGGTTGCGCTCACTGCTGGAACGGGGCCTTCGGGGCCGCCCAGGGAATCGCCAACACGGACCCAGAACCCAAAACGATCACGCCCAGGCTTGTTCCTTACAATCGCGCTTCACACTTTTATTGTTAATTTTCTTCACATGGCAGATAAGAACCGCCCTCCTCCGCGATCCACACCCACGCCCGAGAACCACCGCTGACCGCGAAACGCCACTCTCTAGAAGACCACCCCGGCTCCGTGACTGGGACACTCCGTGGCCCTTTCCGCTAGTCTGAGAGGGTCGAAGGCGGACCGGCACGTTCGCACATGCCAACAGGAGCATCCCCCAGCCCCCACGACATTTTCTGGGATTCACCATCGGTTGAAGTTGACTTTCAAAGCTTTGGGTTCGGGAGCCTTCCCTGCTGCTGAAAGGAGAATCCTCAAGAACTGAGAGGCCGGGGTACAGTTCATGAGTGTCAACATCTATGGGACGGAAGTGTCTGGTTACGGTGGGGAACAGCCACAGCCTTTCATGCTTGTGAGGGCTAATTTTCGGAGCAGGCAAGAGGATGCCAGCTATGGAAATGGAAAACTTTAACTGATGGTTTTTAGCTGGGTGGCAAACGGAACACGGAGACGTGGCCAGCGATCGGCCCTTCTCTGCCCATGTGAGGGTCTCGTGAGACCTTCCTCCCAGACCGTTGTCAGACCCTACATTGCAGCCAGTCGACTGATTAATTAAATAACACAAGTTATAAAACTTTAAAAAGGGGGCATTTACAGTCAGGGACATAAATACGTGCTTTTAAAAGTGTCTACGTACATATTTACAGAGTTGCAAGATCAACCATAGTAGCCCTGAAAAAAAAAGTCCCTTTTTGTGTGTGACCACTCAGGTTCTCCAAAGTTCTCTCCTTCCACCGTGGGGTTGACACGTCACTACTAAAAACAGAGCTGAGGGAACAGCGCCAAAGTGGGCTCAGACATCCGTGTCTGGGGTCTGCCCCAAAGGCACAAAACCCAAGACCCTCACTGGACTGGGGCCAAACTCCTAGCCCAGCTCACCCGTTTCTCCGAGACATGGACGGCCCCGCACACGCAGGAGCCAGCCCCGTCATTCCCTGGCAGGCGACCGGTGGCCTCTAGAAATCTCTTCTTCCCCCTGTGCTTCGCTGCTTCATCCTCCAGCTGGCTGTCCAGTTCCCAATTTTTGTGTCCTTTTCCAGCTAGTCTGCGAAGGTCAGACGCTAAAGGTGTGGATGGTCCCACCGAGTGAGGCCAAAGCAGCACCCGGGCCCTCCCCTGGCCCCCCCACGCCATCCCATCCCCCACCTCCCCCCCAGGGAGGACCCCGATCTCCAGGCGGGGGTGAGGACCCATGAGAATTTCGAGTCTGGCGACGACTCAAGCCAGCGGCTCAGGCAGAGGAGGGAGGCCGTCGACGTGCGCGGGCCGAGGGGGTCGATGAGCGAGGCTCCGACGTGTCCACACGCCGTCGGTTCCCAGAGAGGGTGGAAGGCCGGGGAAGGCTGCGTGGCTGGGAGGGAAGCTCGGCCTCCCCCGAGGCCTTCCTGGGACGGGGCTGGAGCCGACCCCTGAGCCCGAGCACGGTCCCCGCCACGGCAAAAGACAACTCGAGAAGCAAAAAGCAGGATCAAGGAGCTCTTGAAAAATTGCATAGTAGGAGAGGCCCCACCCTGGCGGGAGGCTGAGCCGCAAAAGACGGTCCCGGGGCTGCACCCAAGTGTCGTCCGTGGTGTGGAACCAGCTGCCTTCCTGCCTCCCGGGGTTCGAGACCCTCGTCTGAAGACCACACACACGCGCACACACGCCCACCCGCGCACACACTCCCTTCCTTTCTCTCCAGGCTCATCAAGTGGAATAGGTCGGTGCTCCCTGCAGGGCAGAAGGCCAGTCCCTTTGGCTTCACGGATTCCAGGTCACTTCAGGTGCTGAGGAGAAAAGAGAAGAGAAATGATACGGTGGCTGCAGACTCCGGGCCTAGTCCGGCTGCGGCCTGCGCTCCCGCCATGTGTCTGATTCAACCAGTCACTGAAATGTGCCACGTACGTAGCTCGAGGAGTCCGCAGTGAACACACGTGGGGCCCAGCTCCTGGCCCAAGAAACAGCACACGACCGACCTCCCCGTGGCCCCCAGCCACACCCCCGTTTAGCACCACCCCTGAGCCTCAGCCCTGGAATGAACACTCTCGGCCCTCTTCACGCACACGTTGCCCATTTTCAACTGAAATAAATGGAATCAATGGGTCCGTGTCCTTTGTATCTGGCTTCTCCTGCGCGACAGCGTGTGGGGTTCATCCCTTCCGAGCCTGTGTGTGCTCCTGCCCACCTCCTTGCTACGGGGTCGACTGCAGGACCTGCTGCCTTCATCCGCCTGGTCCACGGCCAATGCACAGGGGGCAGGTTCCAGTCCGGGCCCACTGAGGAATGCTGCTGGGACCCGCTACGTATGCCTGGAGGACACGTGCGGTGCACACGTGTCATATATAGGCCGAGGGGAAGCACCGGGTAGCAGGGTGTGCGCATGGAACACCCGAACTTCCCGCGGTGTGTTCTGGGATGTGGGCACACCCCCCCGCTGAGTATCCCTCTGGTGGTGCAACTGCTGGGTCCTAGGGATGCGGAGGTTCGGCTTCCATCAATACCACCCAACATTATTCCGTGGTATCTACACCACCACCTGACTGCACTCTGATGCTTGCGACGACCCTCACGGTGGGTGACACCGACCCCCAGACCCCCCCCGTGGCAGGTGACAGAGATCCCCAGATCCCCATTTTGCAGGGAAGAAAGAGGCTCAGAGAGGACGAGTGACTTTTACAAGGTCAGGCTGATGACAAGGGGCGGCCGTGGGCCTGGAACCCGGATCCAGCCACCACAGGAGGGTCCCGGGACAAGCGGGGCCCCAGGGCTGCCCTGGCACTGCCCCACCACGTGTGGAAGACTCCAGCCCAGCCTCTCCTCTCCAGCCCCAAGCTTTCCGTCTGCGAGAAGGGCGAGGGCAGGGACGCTCTCCAGAGCCTTCCAGGTCTGCGCTCAGCGCCCAGGCCGCCGGCGCTCCACGGCGTGCCCAGCCCGGGGTCACGTGCCCTCTCGGGAGCCTGTTCTGGAGACGCAGGCTCAGTCCTGCCTCAAGACAACACACCCTCTGGCGCAAGTGGATGTTGCTTCCATGCCCCTCCCCAGTCCCCAGAGAAGTAAAGCCCAGAGCCCAGAGACTCCAGCAGCTTCAGGAAGGGAGGAGCGAACGAGCTCCGGGTAGCAGGGCAGGCGGACGGGAGAACATACAGGATGGAGGACCCCAAAGTTTCAGAGTTCAGCCCATTCTTGCCCAGATCCACCACCGCGTTCTCATTCTGACAACCCTGGCTGCATTAAGCAGGTGTCCCCGAACTTGAGCGTGCCCCAGAATCACGCGCCGTCTGCCAGTACAGATTCCCAGGCCCTGCACCAGGAGGCTCCTTCAGTAAATCTCGAGTGGCTCCCGGGGTCTGTATCTTTCACCGGCGCCCTGACGTACAGGCGCATGGGCTCCTCCGACCATGCTTTAGAGGCCGGCCCCGGGGGCGCAGTGACAGAAGACGTGCCACGTCAGCAGCAAAGGAGCCCAAGCCTGCTCGAGACCACTGGCCAGGCCCAGGCCCCCTGAAGAGGGGAAGTCCAGCTTCCGCGCATGGATTCAGGTTTTACCAGTAGAGAATCCACGAAGAGACTTCTGGTTCGTATCCGCAGAATACTCGGACTTACTAGGACTTTCACTCTCAAATACGTTGTGGGAATAGAGTGTCCACAACCTTTGCTGGGCTCACAGCCTCTCGAGGTCTCGATGAAGTGCTGGCTCTTGCTTTCCTGCTGTTCTCCTTCAGCAGTGACACCTCGTGCTTGTGTGTGCCAGGCGCTGTTGTTCGTGCTCTGCACACACGACACCTGTAGTTCTCACAAGCCATGAAGCAGGCGCCACTGTCATCCCCAGTCTACCGGCGTGGAGACTGAGGTCTCGGGGTACTTTGCCGAGGTCCCCCAGCCAGTAAGTGGCAGAGCTGGTGTCTGCGCCCAGAAGCCCCCCGGTGCCCACCTGCCTGCAAGACGGGCCGGCCGTGCCCCAGCTGGCACACAGGCGATCGTGCCCGCCTCTTCCCTGCTTCCTGCCCACCCCAAGCCCCAAGCCCCAAGCCCAGTGCGCCTCGCCCCCAGAGCCACCCGAACCGTGCCGGAAGCCGCTCCGCCCTCCTCGTACCTGTCAGGGAGCAGGCGACGTGTCTACTCTTTGAAGAGGGGTCCCTGGAACTGGGCTGCAGCCGTGGCCTTGACATTTCTACACTGCCTGGTGACGTACGGGGCGGCTGGCGGAGGGCACCGGGACGCCAGGCGGAGGCTGTAGCTGTTGGGGAGAGGAAGGACACACAGCATCAGAGGGGCTGGCCCGGTGCCCCACACGGCGCCTACGGGACGTGAGCTTCAACGGCCTGCATGGGCTCCACTGAGCGCTGCCCGCCACCTTCCCTCCCCTTCAAGGGACGGGGCCCCCACCAGCGGGGCTCTGCGGCGCTGCACCGAGCAGGGCTGCCCTGAGCCCCCCCCGCCCAGGGCGACAGGTGAGCTGGGAACAGAGCTCTGTCGTGCAGACGGCGGCTGCCCTGCGCCCCCACCTGCCTCCCCTGGCACCATCCGTCCCACCCCAGGGCATCAGGGGGAGCTTCTGGTACCAAGTTCCATCCATACCTGGCAGTGGGTCTCCTCCAGGCCGTGCGCTCTGCACTTGGCCCCATCCCGGCCTCACTGCATCGAGCGCTTTCGGGAATCTCAGAGGCTGTGAGCCCAGATCCCGTGACACGGTTTGGCCCTGTCCACTACCACAGCCCATTAAGTACGATTTCTTTATCCCAGGAAAAGCATTTAAACATTTTTTTAAAAGATACGTAACCTAAGACCATGACTCCTCCCCTTCCTTCACGCAGCTAACTCAGACTCATCTTTCAGGTCCCGGCTGGGATACCACCTCCTCCAGGAAGCCTTCCTTCTTTGACTCCTGAGTGCAGCATCCCCCTGCAGGCTCCCACGGCCCCCTCACACTTCCCCACCGCGGCACCGGTGACACTGAGTCACAATCGCGGGGTAACGTATCTGCCTCCCTCCTGGGCTGAGAGATCCCAAGGCCAGGGCTTCTGTCCTGTTCGCTGATGCATCTCCACCTCGGCACGACAAAAATAAATAGTCGTTGAGTAAGAACGACACATATGCCGGCAACGAGCTAGGTATCTGCAATCATCCCGCTCT